ATGTCTACTATGTGTCAGTCAATGTTCCAGGAAGTGATTTTTTTTAACTGAGGTAGAAAAGCAGACATTACTCTGCCCTCATGAAGCTAACAGTCAATATGTCAAATACATAGATCTACAAGTAAGTGCCTGGCTTATAAATGGGATGTCATGAAGGAGAAGAAAATAAGGCTTAATGACAGACTAACTAGGAGAGACCTAATTGAGATGGAGGTGTCAGAAAGGCCTGAGAGTCATAATGAAATCTAAGACTTAAAGATTGAAAACGAGCTATCCAGGCCCAATGACAGGACTTCCTATGCACAAAGGTGCTAAGTTGAAAATTTAAAAAATAAAAACAGTAATAAACAAGAAAGTAGGGATTTCTGTTTCCAGAAAGATGGAGTATTTTTCAACCATTCCTCCTGCTAAGTACAATTAAAGCCATTATATATAATACACACACATATATACATTATATACATATATATACTGTATATACATATAAATAATTCAAAATTCATAACATATAAATGGATATTATATATATATTTTTTAACATATAAAACAAGCCTAAGACTTTGGAAGGTGACAAAAATAAAGCAGGCCAGGTAGGAACCTTGAGACCCAGGGAATAACATAACACTGAGTATCCTGGATTTTCTTTTTGCCTCATACATCCCAGACTGGAGGATAGAGAAGCAGGCAGCCCAGAAATGGCAATGGGTACATACCACAGACAAAAAAAGCCCCAAGAAGAGCCTTCTCTCTCTAGCCAAAGGACCAGCGAAGGAAAAGTCTAGAAAGACAGAAACAAACCTTTTGGACAGTAACTGCCAAATACCACAGAAAAAAATGTGGCCCTATACCCACCCATGCCAGCAAAGACCTAGAAGACAGACTAGACTTATAACCTTGCCAGGTGCCCCAACATACATGCCCATCAAAGTGTGTCAGAGAAGGCTGAGCAGGGAAAATGAATTCCATCCCCCCTGGGTGGTAACAAGGCCCCTGTAACCATGTCAGTGGAGATCATGTAGGGAGCCTGGACTTCTGCCCTTACCCAGCAGTAATGAGGTATCCCTCCTTGTTCCTGCTGAGTGGGTGTCACAAGAGGCCTACTAGAGAGTCATGACTTTCACCACCACCTAGCATTAAGGAGGCTATGTCCCAGATACAGTGTCAGTGGCGGTCACATTGGGAGCAGAAACAAAGCACTCCTGGCACCACTCTCCCCTCCCACTGAGTGTGGTATCACTGGAAGCCTAGAATGAAGGTAGAATTTCCACCATAGTCAGCAGTAACAAAGAGCTTCTCCTTCCCCATGTCAGTGGAGGCTGAGTGAGGAACCTAGACTTGCACCACCAACTGGCAGTAACAAGGCAGCCCCTCCTGTGAACCCCATCCCTTCCACACACACACATAGTGTCAGAGGAGGCCAGCTTTAAAGGAAAAAAAAATAATAATAATAGTAAGATTTAAATAAGATCCAGAGCTCACTCATAATACTCAATATTTTTAAGTTTAAGTGAAAAATCATTCATCATATGAAGAACTAGGAAAGTCTTTAATGAGAAAAGATAAAGACATCAGCACTGAGATGAATCAGATGGAGTTATCTTTCAAGAATTTTAAAGAAGCCATTACAAAAATGTTCATCAATTACAAATTCTCTTGAAATAAATGGAAAAATAAAAAAAATCCCAGCAAAGAAACAGACATTATAAAAAAGAAGCAAATGGGAATTACAGAACTAAAAAATGCAACAACAGAATTAAAAAGCTTGGTGAATGGGCTAAGCAGATTGTAGACAACATAGGATAAAATCTGTGAGTTTGCAGATTCATCAACAGAATTGACCCAGTTAGAACAACAGAGAGAAAACAGACTGAAAAAATTAAACAGATTCTCAGGGACCTGGGGGACAATAATAAAAGATTCAATGTTCATATCATCAGAATCTCAGAAGGAGAAAAGAAAGAGTGGGGCTGAACATGTATCTAAAGAAATAATGGCTGGAAAATCCTCAGATTTAGTGAGATGCACAAATCTATAGATTGAAGAAGCTCATCAATACTCAAAAGAGATGGACCTTAAAAAAAAAAAAAAAACCCACATACAAATAAATTTGAAAACTAAAGGCAAAGAAAAAAATCTTGAAAGCAGTCAGAAAAAAATGACATGTAATCTAAAAGGGGGTCTCATTTGAAGCTATGGAAGTCAAACAGAAGTGGTTCAATATTTTTCAAGTGCTAAAAGAATTGTCAACCACAAGTTCTATATCCTGTGAAATTACCCTTCAGGAACAAATGAGGGGGGAAAAATTTATTTTCAGATGAAGAAAACTAAAAGAATTTGTTACTATCAAGCCTACCCTTAAATGCTGGCTATAGTAAATTCTTCAAACAGAAAGGAAATTATAAAAGAAAATATCACACACCGTATGATTCCATTTATATAATATCTTCAAAATGACAAAATTATAGAGATGTAGACTAGATTAGTGGTTTCCAGGAGTTAGGGATATTAGTGGGGGGATGGGAGTGAAGGGTGATTATAAAGAGGTGGCTCGAAGAAAATCATTGTAATACAGATTGATCTTTTTTTTTTTTTTTTTTAAATTGTGATTTGGGTGAAGATTTACAGAGCAAATTCACTTTCCATACAGCAGTTCACATATACTTTGTCTCATGTCATTGACCACAGTTTACCACAATGCAACAGCTCCCCTCCCACTTCCTCCCAATAGTTACCTCTTCCCAGTGTCCATCCCTCCATACACTCCTGCCCCTGAGCTGTCTCCCTGTGCATAAGCAGCCCTTCTTTCTCCCATGATTGTTTAGAGATTGATCTTGATTACAATGGTAGTTGCATGAATCTATTATATGCCATAAAATGACAAAATTAGTTATACATACATTGTACCAATGTTGTTATCTTGGTTTCAATATTGTACTATTGTCACATAAGATCTAACTATAATCATTGGAGGAAACTAGATGAAAGGTACATGAAACCTCAGTACTACCTTTGCAACTTCATGTAAATTGTAATTATTTAAAAATAAAAATTTAAAAGAATAAAATAAGAAAGTAAAGGTTAAAGTCCCAATTACAGGCTAGCAATTTAAATTTTCTGTAGATAAACAAAGATTTTTCTCATACTTTTTAAAAATATTGACTTACTTCTGTTGTATACTAAGTGACCAGTTTAGATAATGGCAGTAATACAGTTGCTTTAATATTATGTAAAGAGGGGAAAAAAACTAAAAGGAAGCATAAGGGTTAGAACCCAAAGAAAACAATAAAGTGCCCCCAGAACTTACAGATTAAGTGAATTTATGAGAAATAGATTAGCAAAATCAGCCTACAACACGAGATTAGCCATCAGCAGAATAGTCCTGTGGGTCAATAAAACTCCAAATCAAACAAGAAGAATCGGGCTCTAGAAATCTGAGCAAGATATCACCAAGTACAAAGGAAAGCAGTAGCCTAATCAATGGTAACACTATGTAAGAAGAAAGTCTGAGCTAGCCAAAAATCTAAAGAAAGTGATGACAAAATCAAGAAGTGCACAGTACTGATCCCATCCAGCATTTGCGAGAAACTGAACTATCACCATGATGTAACTCATGACAGAGCTCTGGTCTGCTAGGCAGCAGAGATGTTTTTCAGGTTTTTCCATGTCTTTGAAGACTATTAAACTTCCCTTGCTCTGGTCCTACATTTAACAAGAAATCCTCTGGTCCCCAATTCAACTTCTACTTTTATAGACTGTTATGGTCACTGGAAAAGTATATCCTATATAACATTCTAGTTGGTCCCTTGTCAGTTTCATTAGTTTTAAGTTCAAATCAGTCTCAAAAGCCTATTATCTCTTAATGTTCCTAGACAAGTTTATAGATCAGCAAAGTTAAGGGCTAGACTCTAAGTCAAGAAGGCACACGGTGAGACTGGCCAGCCAGTCTCCCTCTACCCAAGGTGCCTCCATCTTGTTCTTTCACTTCCATAGGTAATAAGCTGGCTTTGCAAATAGCACTCCAAAATTCTATTCAACTCACAAAATTCAGAACAGATCTATTTTTACCCACCAGGGCCATTCTCTTTCCCTTCCTATTCACTGTCTTCTAAAATCATTCTCCAAAACACATATTCTACACAGATCATTTACCATGTATGCAAACTCCTATCAAATCTGCTAGGAGAGCAAAACAAAGTAGAATCTATTGCTTTAGCCAACACTGGAATTGCACAAGTCATAATTTCATTTTTTATGATGAGCCCTGAGTCCTGAGTCTCCTGGTTATTCAATCACCACTCTATTTAAATTATCCTGCTAAATTCTATTTAATAAAATTCTACTTCAACTGTTGTTTTTCTAAAATATCTAAAAATAAGAGGTCAAAATATTCCTTACAATAATCATTAGCAACAAAATATTCTGGCAAATTTTTCCAACAGTCAGTACTTAATTTTCAACAGGTTATAGTAATCCATATTCAGAAACGTGATAAACAAAATGAAAACCTAAAAAGTACAAAGACAAGACTACTTATACTTCATATAAGTACATTACATCTTCCTACACATTACATTTTGGAATGTTAAGAGTGTTTCACAAAGAATTCCACACCTGCAGTAAATGAGACTCAAATCATCATCAAAGGGTATTTCTTGGGGTTTATTAAGCAAGTAGAAGTGATATTTCCCTAAAACAGACTAAAAAAATATATTAAATATATAGAATTCTATTTCAAATAGGATTTATCTATTCAACACTGGGCAGGACTGCTAGCTGGCTGAATAATCACATTCTTGTTTAAATTATGGTGACTTTTTCGTACCTGGGCAGTAACCAGGAATACACAGCCTCAATCCTCTTGTCTGAACTCCTTTGATGTCCAACCAGTAAATTCAGGTTGCTAAATCATCAGTCATTGACTTCCAGGGACATCACTGCTTTAGAATAACAGAAGGATCTGATGTGGAAACTATTTAAAATAGGTTTAAATTTTCACTTACCTCTATTGCTACTACAATCAAAATTAGGTCCATTTTTGCCTCTGGAAAGAGTGCATTCACTTGTGGTGACATTCCAATCAGAGCACAGTTAGTGACCACAGATATAACACTCATTGTTTCAAAAGCCAACTAAGAGAAAGGAAAAAAAAAAAATGATGTGAAAATAACAAATTGTAATTACTGCTTCCATATTTCCACTTCCTTCTTTCTTATGATACAAAATCAAACAAAGATGGCAAGGAAAGTCTTTCTCAAGTTCTAAATATTCCAAATACTTTTAAAACTTTTTCTCTATCACATTATGATTTTCTTTAGCTTAAAAAGTCATACTGTTAGAATGTACTTTAGATTCTTCGGGATGGAGTATCCCAAAGTAGTGCATTATACCTTCCCATTTGGAGATGGCTGGGAACATAAACTTGGAATACCATCCTGGAAGAAGATACTGTTAAAGTCATTTTATACTGTTCATATTTAAAGGAATCTAAAGTCAGGCTGCCAGAGAAAATGCTTTACATTCAAAAACAGGTACTGAGATTTCAAATAGAATTTACTTTATGAAACTGTCCTTCTACTTTGTCTTGAGATTGCCTGCAGATCAGCACTGAATGACCACACTAAAGAGGCTCTGGTCAGTGGCATCACTAGAGTTGGTGTCACCCAGTGCAGTAACTCATGGTGTCACCTCCCCACCCTTTCCATGGACCTCCTTCCATGTCAGATGTATAGAATCCTTAGCAATGCTTATTATCAGTTTTAATCATAGAATAATATGTGATAAATATAGTTATAAGTTGCTTAAGTGTAATATTTCTTAGATTATATGAATACTAAGGGCAATCTACTTCCGTAGTGATACTGCCTCGGAAACCCAAGGAGGGGTCGCTATGAGTCAGGTCTGATTTGACAGCACATAACAACAACAACAAAATGGTTTATGAAATCTTTCTATAATGAATTACATTATTTATTACAACATCATTAGTAACTGAGCAAAAGCCTTTTTTTATTTTTCTTCTTCTTTTCCTTTAATTACTACTTCATTCTCAAAAAAGTTATTGATATGGGTTCACAAACACTAATTACCACAACATTGTAGCTAAAACACCAGAAAACTTGACAAAATCAGTGACCATAAAAACACCAGCAGCAACAAAAACAAGGATGTGAACTTGTGGTGCATGCAAACAAAATCATGTGATTCAAACATCATTTTAATTAGCTAATACTGACAGCTCTGACTGGAGTGCATTGTTGTTGTTGTTATGTGCCATCGAGTCGGTCCCAACTCATAGCAACCCTTCCTTGGGTTTCCAAGGCGGTATCACTATGGAAGTAGATCGCCCAATCCTCCTTCCGAGGAGTGGCTGGTGGGTTTGAACCGCCAGCCTCCCGGTTAGCAGTCAAGTGCCTTAGGCACTATGCTACCAGAGCTCCTGCATTAGAAGGTTTAAAAAATAAATCAGCATAGAGTTTCAGCCTTGTAAGTATACTGATACATGAAAGCTAGGCTTATAAAATATGTTATAGTTATGATAACTACAGGTATAATTTTGTAAGAAAAAATAATTTTCTGCTGAAACACTGCACAAAAATTGTATAGACAGTCATTTTGGAGTCATCCCCTGACAGTGTCACCCAATGCAGTCTGCCCCCCCAAGTGATGCAACTCGTCCTGATATTCACATATTCAGAATCAATATGCATGGATCTATGGCCAGCTAGGGGTAAATTGGAGAATTCACTGGTCTAGGATGGCTTTGACAGGAAAAAGTTCTTATTTCACATAGTTTCCAGACCTCTAACAGACTAGCCTGGGCTTGTACAGATGGTGTCTGAGTAGGGTTCCAAGAGGCATTAAAGCACACAAGACCTTCTGAGGCCTTGGCAAGGAACAGCACAATGTTACTGTTACCACATTGCTTTGGCCAAAGCAAGTCATAAAGTTGGTCCAGATTTAAAAGTTTAAAAGATTTCATCCCTTGATGGGAAGAGTTGCAAAACTACTCACCAAAGCAGAATGTAGAATATTGTCTTTGTATATACAGTATGTTATGCCAATTGAGCTTGATGCCCCCCACAACTATGGTCCTGAGCCCCCAGCCCAGTGACTCATTCCCTCAAGGTATTTGGTTATGGCTAAGTTTTCCCCTACTTCATCTCACCTACTTTAGTCACTTTGTCAGAAGGGACCATTCCCTAAAGAAGGATACTGTGCTTGGTAAAGTAGAGGGTCAGTGAAAAAGGGGAAGGCCCTCAATGAAATGTTTTGACACAGTGGCTACAACGATGGGTTCAAGTATAGCAGGGCTATGAGGCTGGCCTGCGACCAGGCATTTCGTTCTGTGCTCATAGGGTCACTATGAGTCAGAGTCAACTCAACAGCACCTAACAAGTTTTCATAATTTTTTCCCATTAGCTCTACTGTATACATCAACATCTCTGAAACACATACAGATATGCATGTAGAAATATCATCTGCCTATATATGGTTGTGGGTATAGTCCCATTTGCCCACCCTTATCCAGTCATCTTTCCTATCTACCTATGTATCCATTCATACATTAATGTTTGTTATTACTGATAACGCAGGATTGTGTATGCAACAGTGTTTACCTTTGTTGCCTGTTAAAATTGTGTTTTATCTAAAAAGAAAAAAATGCTGTCAAGCTGATTCTGACTTCGGGTGATCTGTGCCCCACAGGGTTCTCAAGGCAGTGGCCTTTCAAAAGCAGATCTCCAGGCCTTTCTTCTGAGGCATCTCTACATGGGTTCAAATCACCAACCTTTTGGTTAGTAGTCAAGTACTTAAGTGTTTAGACCACTCAGAACGCCTATGTTTTATTAACATATATCAATTATATATGCCTTTTCTTTTAATGAGATTTTTCAAACTTTTATACTTCCTTTTCTTTCCTTTACATAATGGTTTTGGGAACTGATTTCCTCAAGACCAATGGATGGCTTTCCAACATAAGGTCTTACATTGTGGTTTATAATAGTTGACTAAGAATTGGTATAAAACTTCCTTTACTTATATTAAGGAGCTCTGGTGGCACAGTAGATAATTCATTTGTCTGCTAACCAGAAGGCTGGCGGTTCAAACCCACCAGAATTGAGGGAGGAAGATGAGGCAATCTACTTCTATAAAGATTTACAGCCTTGGAAACCCTATGGGGGTTGCAATGAAGTGGAATCAACTTGACAGCAATGGGATACTTATCTTAGAAAAATCTCTTCATCTTTATTTGCCCAATTGCTCTTTTTTAATTTAGAGAAAAAGAGGTTTGACTGAATGGTAAGAAAGGAATTCAAGGTATTCTCCATTAATGATAGGTAGGGTACCACTGCTAACTACAGCACATACCTTTGTATGTGTGCTGGTACTCATTCATACATGTGAAGGATACAAAGATAAAACAGGGTTGAAGAAAGGAAAGTTCTTTTAAAAAGAGTCAATGTGGTTAAAGGTGGAGATAAAGATTGTATGTTTTAATAATGGGTTTCTCCCATGTGGATTTTTCTGTGCATATACAAGAGGAAAACAAAAGGGGGTGGGTCTCCTTGGCAAATAATGGCTGATTCCAGGGATAGGGAAAGATAGGTAAAAAATAAGCCCGGAACATTTTGTAATGCCAGAGGAAGAAGGAAGTACTAAACAAATAAACAAAAATAATGTGGGCATGTTAAGAGGCACTAGCCAACTGGAAAGGGCCCTCAGTGGCCAAATCTGGGATAATTTTAGCACCAAAATAATTAAGAACAATAACAGATAGTAAATTATTGACAAAAATAGTAATTCATGAGTCCATATCAATGACAAATGGACTGACGGATGGATGGATGGATGGATGGATGATGAATGGATGAGGAAAAAGCAAGGTGTTGCCAAGTGCCATTCAAATGTAAAAGAATGCTTGTTGTTGTTTTTGTTGTTATGTGCCTCCGAGTCTGACCCGACTTCATAGCAACCCCTCCTTGGGTTTCTGAGGCAGTATCACTACGGAAGTAGATTGCCCCACCTTCCTTCCGAGGAGTGGCCTAGGAGCAGAAAAATCACCATTTTTCAACAATCATAGTAAAGACTGGATCAGTTAAGAACCAGCAATTGATGTGACATCTCAGGAAAAGTTCTAATGAGGAGCAGGATAACTGCTCATGATCTTGCAGTGTCTATCCTTCTACTGCTTAGTTGTGAGGGTGAAAGAGATAATGAGATAAGGGAGAAATTGGATAACACCTTGATGAGCTGATCAAAAATAAACAATGAAAAAATCCTCAAGGAGGGACATCTTGTGTCTCCAGATATGATGCCCTGAGAAAAATACAAGTTCATTTGCCCAAAATGCATACATAATCTGAATCTGTTCAAGAGGAAACATTAGAAAACTCAAATAAGAAACATTATGTTACAATGAGGGGAAAAGGGAAATTGCATTCTTCAAAAATGCCAATGTCATAAAATATAAAGAAAGGCAATAGAAATGCTACAGATTAAAGGAGGTTTAAGAGTCATGACAACTAAATACAATTCCTGACCCTTACACTAGATCTTATACTGGGGGGAAAAAAAAAAAAAGGGTTAAAAGGACATTATTGGACCAAATGACAAAACTGAAATACAGATGGTAGGATTATTCTATTCATTATTTATTATTGATCAAATTACTGAAATGAAAATTTATACTGTGATTGTGTAAAACAATACCCAGTTCTTAGGAAATACACACTGAAGAATTTAAGGATAAAAACCCATGATGAATGTTCAGTAAAGAAGGTATGTGGGTGTGGGTGTGGGTGTGTGTGTCTAGAGAAAGACATAGAGATAAGGACAGCACTAAAATTGATAAAAAGTTAGTAACAGATAAATCTATGTAGAGTACTGGTCCCCATGCCTTCCTTTTACCTTTCTAGTTTTATACCACCACTGTTTTCTGACCTGCATATTAAGAGTCCAATAGTTTTCAGTAAAAAATACTACCTTCTAGATTTAGATCATAAACTTGAATTCAGAGATAGTCAATTAATTCATTAAATAAGTGAAATTTCAGTAGCAATTCATTCA